GTGCTCTCCTACCTCCAAATCTAACACCTGGCCTGGTTCATTACCCAATACCAAATCCAATGTGGCCTCGCATCTTGTTGGCCTATCTACATACTGTGTCAGGAAACCCTCCTGCACACATTAGACAAAAACTGACCCATCTAAAGTACTCGAACTATAGCGTTTCCAGTCAATATTTGGAAAGTTAAAGTCCCCCATAACAATTACCCTGTTACTTTCGCTCCTATCCAGAATCATCTTTGCAATCTTTTCCTCTACATCTCTGGAACTTTTCGGTGGCCTATAGAAAACTCCCAACAGGGTGACCTCTCCTTTCCTGTTTCTAACCTCAGCCCATACTACCTCAGTAGACGAGTTGTCATCAAACGTCCTTTCTGCCACCGTAATACTGTCCTTGACTAACAATGCCACACCTCCCACTCTTTTACCACCTTCCCTGATCTTACTGAAACATCTAAACCCCGGAACCTGCAACAACCATTCCTGTCCCTGCTCTATCCATGTCTCCGAAATGGCTACAACATCGAAGTCCCAGGTACCAACCCATGCTACAAGTTCCTGGCATTGAAGTAGACACACTTCAAACCACCTTCCTGCCTGCCGGTACACTCTTGCGACCTTGAAACCTTATTCATGACCTCACTACTGTCAACTCCTGTACACTGGAGCTACAATTCAGGTTCCCATCCCCCTGTTGAATTAGTTTAAACCCTCCCGAAGAGCATTAGCAAATTTCCCCCCCGGGATATTGGTACCCCTCTGGTTCAGGTGTAGACCATCCCGTTTGTAGAGTCCCACCTACCCCAGAATGAGCCCCAATTATCCAGGTATCTGAATCCCTCCCTCCTGCACCATCCCTGTAGCCACGTGTTCAACTGCTCTCTCTCCCTATTCCTCGCCTCGCTAGCAGATGGCATGGGTAACAAACCAGAGATAACAACTCTGTTTGTTCTAGCTCTAAAGCTTCCACCCTAGCTCCTTGAATTTCTGCCTTACATCCCCATCCCTTTTCCTACCTATGTCGTTGGTGCCTATGTGGACCACGACTTGGGGCTGCTCCCCCTCCCCCTTAAGGATCCCAAAAACATGATCCAACACATCATGGACCCTGGCACCTGAGAGGCAACACACCAACCGCGAGCCTCTCTCGTTCCCACAGAATCTCCTATCTGTCCCCCTAACTATGGAGTCCCCAGTGACTAATGCTCTCCTCCTCTCCCCCCTTCCCTTCTGAGCAACAGGGACAGACTCTGTGCCAGAGACCTGTACCCCATGGCTTACCCCTGGTAAGTCGTCCCCCTAACAGTATCCAAAACGGTATACTTGTTTTTGAGGGGAACAGCCACAGGGGATCCCTGCACTGTCTGCCTGTTCCCTTTCCGTTCCCTGACTGTAACCCATCTACCTTTTTCCTGTACCTGAGGTGTGACTACCTCCCTGTAACTCCTATCAATTACCCCCTCAGCCTCCCGAATGATCCAAAGTTCATCCAGCTCCAGCTCCAGTTCCCTAACGCAGTTTCCGAGGAGCTGGAGTTGGGTGCACTTCCCGCAGATGAAGTCAGTGGGGACACTAGTGGTGACCCTTACCTCCCACATTCTACAGGAGGAGCATGCAACTGCCCTAACATCCATTCCCACTGTTCTGAATTCCCAAACAGACTATTGAAAAAAAAACACTAGTAACCTTACCAAATCAGCGCTCAGAACCATTTTTTTTTGGTTAGAGGAGGAGGATGGGTGGAAGACACTACCTAGGTAGTGTTTCGGGTAAAGCAACCGCTCAAATATATTACCTCACTAACTCACTCCAGAAAATGGAGTCACGCGAGGTAAGCTTTTGTAAGCTTACATCTGAAATTGAGTATAAATCAACACCGAGTTCTGACTTTTTCCGACCCCACTCCAATATCAGCCCAACCTGTCAGCTGACAGTATTAAGTTTAGTTTTGGTTATCACGTGAACTTAAATAGCACCAATAAATTTAAGGTAGCTGTTGGGAGATTTAAAGTCTGTTCTTTTGTAGTGATCTGATGGGAAAGACTGAGAATAATGGGATGAAAGAAAGGCCACTCCCATAATCAAATTGGTAAATCAGCATATTTTGTTTTTTAAACATCTTTCTTGCAGTTTTGGTCATACATAATCAATTAAAAGATGACGCACCAATTTCCTGCACTCAGCCCTGCTCAGAAGAAGGAGCTGTCTGAAATAGCTTTGAAGATCATCTGCCCTGGTAAGGGTATCCTAGCTGCTGATGAGTCCGTGGGTGAGTGTCTCCTGCATTTTTGGCTTCCTGTTTTGTGATTTATTGGTTGCAATGGCAGACATGTGGGGGATAGGAAAGGAATGGAGGTTTGAGGAGGAAAGTACAACTGAACTAGACTCTGATTCCCACTTTTTCAGAGTTGCACTGACATTTACTAAAACGTTAACTTCAATGAGTACAATAAGCAGGTTGTGTATTTCACAGATTTCCTATTGTGACTGTGAAAACAAGTATAGCCAATCCATGGATGGACCAATAAACAGACCAGCAATTTAAAAAACAGCCTTGCCTCTGTCTCCTAAAATGAACACACTCATTTCATTGACTCCTCCCTCCTAATCCATAGTATGTTTAAAGATATGGTATTGAAAGTGCCAATCTGGGTGAACCAATGAATTCAACAGCATACTCCCCTATTTCAACATTGAAAATTGAATCCAGAAAATTGGAGCAAATGTCTGTGAATGAGCTGACATGTGAGTTTCACAAAACAAGACTGCATTCATGAACTGCTTCTTAGTTAACAGATCTGAAGTCCTTTTTATCTCTTTAGGGTATTGAGCTACCTCTAGAGAAAATTTTGTCTTGAAGCCATTGGAACCTAAGGGGAGATATTTTTTAATCGGAATACTCTTTGGTGCTTTGACCTGATTATCGTTTGTTTGGGAAGACTTACTGTATACATTCTCATGCAGTGCCCTTCTCCATAGGAACCTGTAAATGGAACTAGTGGATTTGATGATATTTCACAAATACATGATAATGTGAGTTTCTGCTCCTCCTGAAACAAAATAAATTAGAAGTTTTGTACTTCAGCTAAAAGCAAGTCACCACTAAATATCCTATTGACTTAAGGTTTGAAATATAAAAAAAAATTGGATGGTTGGCAAGGGAATTGTGGTTGTACAGAAGATTACGTTCAATAGGGGGCTCTGTGCTGATCTGCTTGAGATCAGGCAACTTGGTCGTTGGATTATGGACCATGAACCCTGGTGTATGTATCTAGTAGTTCATGACCTTTTCATATCCAATGTACCAAAACAGCCTGTATGTCAGCCATTTTTTTAATAAGTAGATTGCTGTTCCATTTCTTAGGGAGCATGGCCAAACGACTGAACCAGATTGGTGTGGACAATACAGAGGAAAACCGACGTATCTACCGACAGATCTTGTTGACTGCTGATGATCGTATCAAAGACTTTATTGGAGGTGTCATCTTCTTTCATGAAACTCTGTACCAGAACACTGATGATGGAACACCCTTTGTAAATGTGGTCAAAGACAAGGACATTGTTGTAGGAATCAAGGTAAATGATCAAGATTTGTAATTATCTCTACTCCAATGGACTAGACCACTCAATGAGCGAAATTGAGCACTCTTACTCTTGGGTGTTTGAAGGGGTATCAGAACTCTACATTAGGTGTTGCACAAATAACGCATACAGATTTGGGTTTCAAATTGCTGCTTGTGGCTGATCAGGAGTTTCAAATGTGCATCTTGTGTTGCATGAGGCAGATTTTGTGTCTCTACTTTTTGATAATAAAACAAAGTAGAATGTTATCTACTACAAATATTTGCTCAGGTTTCGTAAAGTATATTTTTTCCACATTCTGTTTGTTCAAGATATAATGATCTTGATGTCCAAAGCAGTCTGTTAGAACAGCAGTATCTGAAACTAGTACTGGATGAGCTTATGGGATTTTATGATTCATCACGTCTAGTTGCAGTGTTAACCCAGGCTCTTCTCCACACGAAAGGATAGACAATCAAAAGGCAAATCATAAGCTGTCAGATTCTGAGTAGTCCAATTTTGGTTTGGAATGAACTGATTTTCTTCCAGCCTAAACTTTCCATGGCTGTGTTTTGTGTGTAGGATTTTATACTTGAATCCAATTTGTGCTGAAATCTCAAAAACTGAACTATGCACATATAGTTTGTGTTTGCCTGAAGGGGAATGTACAGTCTCAACTGTAGGGATACTAAAACCAACAGGATATAGCTTGGCAGAACTGAGACCTAGAAACTTTTAAGTGTTCAAAGGAACACTGCTGGATTAGAAGTAGCTAGTAGAGTACTGACAAGCTTTCTGTTACTTGTCCAAATATTATTAACAGATATTAAGGTGTCAAATAATTGTTTTGTGCTTCTCTCTTTCCCCACTTTTATTTCTGTATATGTGTTTTTCTTGTGGAAGACAAGCAATTAGTTGCCAGATCCTAACTCTCCCTGCAGTGACCCCCACCACCGCCCCTGCCACATGCTTATCCACTGCCGGGAGCATATAGTTCAGAAACTTACAGCAATAATAAACCTGAGAAGTAGAGCTGATTGTAGGGAGAACAAATCTGTGATTCTTTTGCAGGGATAATTGACATAGAATTGGTGGTGTTAACAGTGGAAATTGACTCACTGATCCAATCTGCTCGAATCAAAACAATAAGTCCATGAAAGGTATGGAAAGGTATAATGTGTCGGTGCAGGCTTGGAGGGCCGAGGGGCCTGTTCCTGTGCTGTACTGTTCTTTTGAAAGTGGGTTCCATGTGAATTTATGTCAGAAACTTGAGCCTGTTCTGCCATAATGGCCGACATAAATTCTAGCTGTACTTGCCTTTGCTCCATATTCCTCTAACTATGCCCAACAAAAATCATATCTAGGATTCTGTTTTCTGCAATGCTTATCATTGACTTGGATTGATGATTATCTCTTCTGTGGAAAACTAGAATATAGAATTGAGACAATTCATATTCACGTGTCACACAAGCAGTAATAGACCCTTCACCAGTCCTGAGGCTTGGTTACTATATATCTTTGAATAATGCACTTGTAAACCAAAGGGAGGAAAGCTCTTTTGAAATCGCTGAAACAGTCAATAAATGGCATACAAAGTTGGAATGCAGTAGGGTGTAAAATTCTTAAAACAATAACAGAACTATCAAACATTGATTTTAAAAATTATTCAATGTTTTGTTGAATATTTGGTACAAATTATAAATGTCAATTATTCTTATTTGAAACTTAAGACTTCTTGAACTTAAGATGTTCTGTATTTCCAGGTTGATAAAGGTGTTGTACCCTTGGCAGGAACCAATGGAGAAACCACAACTCAAGGTAAAGATCACATAAGTGGGCAGGGAAGGTATAAGAGATAACAAGGTGTACAGCTGGATGAACACAGCAGGCCAAGCAGCATCACAGGAGCAGGACGGCTGACGTTTCGGGCCTAGACCCTTCATCAGAAACCGAAACGTCAGCCTTCCTGCTCCTCTGATGCTGCTTGGCCTGTTGTGTTCATCCAGCTCTACACCTTGTTATCTCAGATTTTCCAGCATCTGCAGTTCCTACTATCAGGTAAGGTATAAGATCTGTGATTAGAGAGGGGACTGGATATGTATAGTACGTTGGGGTAATGGAGATAATGTATTGCATTGGATGGTGGTTAGAGTGTCTGCAATTTAAATGCACTGCAAAGAAGGATGGGACTCGTGCATACATGAAAGCAGTTACTGTGCAGGACTAAACAAGATTCTGTACGTTGACCACTGTTGTCAAAAAGACTCAGCCTTTTCATTTTTTTTAAAATTCCTGGTGTTGTGGGTAAATCACTGCAGGTTACCTTTAATTCAGTTACTTATTAAGGAATCTCAGACAATCAAGTACCGAAACAATGATTTAAACTTGTCTGAATGTAGCAACCAAATTAGGACCCCTCAAGCAAGTTAAGCCTCACAATTCAACTTGGCTACTACCTGATTTTAATGGTAAAATCTGACCTGGATTCCATGAACAGTGTCTGTCTCTGGAAGTGTCCAGGGTTCAATCTTTATGCAGTGTTGTTCTTTGAAGTTCTGCTACTGACTTATTCTGGTGTTCAATTCTTAGAGTTTTGTCCTTCAGGTCATTATTGACGAATCTTCAAAGTCCTTTCATCCAAATTACTGCAAATTTACTGCTTGCTTTCTTATCAGAAGTAGGTTCTTTGTTCCTTGTTACATTTGGCCTTAACTGCCTGTTCAAAGGCACAGCTTTCCTGTAATTGACTCCTTAAATTCTTCTACAGGTCAGTCAGTTGTCCTTGTGGCATAAAACATCAGTTTATCAAGCAGTTTTGTTCATGTAACCTTTTGACAGACAAGGCTAATTGATTTCAAGTTCTGTATAAGTTTGTCCTTGAACAATGTATTCCAGACAGAATTATTGCTGATTCTTTCAAGTGTAACAGTATATATTTTGATTTAATAACTGTTCATGGATTGAATTAAAAGTCTGTAATATCTCACTGCAATTCCTACATGAACTCAGCTCTAATGCTGATTAAAGTCTCCTCTTTTTTGTCCCATTAAAATTTTCAAATTTTCAGTCTTACCATCCATAATCATTCCTAGGGCAAGTTACAGTGAAATCAAAGGACCCAAGCTGTACTTTCCCTCAAACATTGAGAATACGTTCTACATTTCAGTAACTTTGATTGCCGTACTCTGACAAATCTTGTTTTTAAAATTCTAACAAAAGCAAAGAACTGCAGATGCTGGAGATCTGAAATAAAAAGAAAAGTGCTGGAAAAAAACAGCAGGTCTGGCAGCATCTGTGGAGACAGAAACAGTCAATGTTTTGAGTCAAAGTTATTTTATTCCAGGTGGGTTTGTTGTGGATTCAATGGGCTGCCCCAAAACTGTTTCTTGTTCACAAATGAGATCAGGAAGGGTACTGGCTAGGATTTCAAGCTGTCATCCAAGGTATCATTTTAAGTGCTATTTCCAGTAAGTGGAAGTATTGGCTTCCTTTTTGGCTCACAAGAAATGCTCCAACTAATGTGGCCTTCATCCAGAGACATTGAATATGTCTGACTTCCAATTTCAGTTGAATTGATAGAATTCTATTAGAGTGAAGCTATTTTAACCTTTGTGCCAATGTTCCAGGAAGGGAGTGTGGTTTTGAGTCTGCTCTATCAAAACCTGTGTCCTTCCTTTTAAATTATCTCCAAGCTTTTATACTTGAATTCAAAATTAACTTATTTGGTGTTGGGACTTGAGGCATAAAAAGACATGATTAGCAACTCCGTGAAGAATACAAAGTACACCAGAAGACCAATATGTACTAGTTAAATGTACAATTAAGTGTATTCATACATATTATTGTCAAATTATTGCTTAACTGGATAAAAATAGAATATTGCAGGTGCCAGAAGTCTGAAATAAAAATTGAAAATGCTGCAAATATTCAATGGGTCAGGCTGAATTTTGCAAATAGAGTTCTGATAAACATCAATGTGAAATGTTAAGTCTGTGTTTTTCTCTACACAGATGCTGCCTGACCTATTTCCAGCATTTTTGTTTCGTAGTAGACTATATATTTTTTTTCCTAATCAACCTGTTCAGAGATGTTAATACACACCTGTGGAGCAGGTGGGACCTGAACCCAGGCTTCACAGTTCAAGGATAGGTACTCTGCCTCTGTACCACAAGTGAGCCCCTACATTATACTTAGTCTCACTATGAAAGTGTTATCACCTGTACCAAGCTGCCTATTTTGAATGGCTTGTTATCTTAGCACTTCTAGATGTGATGCTTCAGTCAGCTGTGAATCTTTTGGTTCAGTAAGAACATAAGAACATAAGACCTAGGAGCAGGAGCAGGCCGTCCGGCCCTTCGAGCCTGCTCCGCCATTCAGTTGCTGACTTCCTGCCTTTAAATCCATTTAAGTACATTTCAATTCCAATCACTGAATAACAGCAGTCAGAAAATGATCAGCCAATGTGTTTTAGTAATGCTTGTTGAGGAATAATATTGCATAAGGCACTGGGGAAACACCCTTGGTCTTCACGTTATTGTCACTGGATCTTTTTGCATTCAACTGAACAGGTGGGTGGTTTAACATATCTGCCAAAATATGGCACCTCTAAATTTATTTTAAATGCTCAGTACTACGCTGGAATTATGTGTTTAAGTCTTTCGAGCAAGACTTAAACCTTATGGTTAGATAGCACTCTTAAGTATTTCAGCTTCCTAGCACTTTTGTTGTAGCATTAAAGGTTTCCTATTTAATTTCAAACACCTTCAGAAACGATAGAAGAAGGATACTTTCATTGATGTTTGTTTGGTGTGGTCAGTTATTTGTTAGTTGCTGTTGGAACAGTAGAATGGAGGTGTTCCAGAAACCTAGCTGGCTGCCGCTATCTCTTGAGACAACAAGGTGCAGGGCTGGATGAACACAGCAGGCCAAGCAGCATCATATGAGCAGAGAGGCTGACGTTTCGGGCCTAGACCCTTCATCAGAAAAGGGGGAGGGGAAGGGGGTTTTGAAATAAATAGGGAGAGAGGCGGATAGAAGAGGGATAGAGGAGAGGATAGGTGGAGAGGAAACAAACAGGTCGAAGAGGCGGGGATGGAGCCAGTAAAGGTGAGTGTAGGTAGGGAGTTAGGAAGGGGATAGGTCAGTCCAGGGAGGATGGACAGGTCAAGGGGGCGGGATGAGGTTGGTCGGTAGGAGATGGAGGTGCGGCTTGAGGTGGGAGGAGGGGATAGGTGGGAGGAAGAACCGGTTAGGGAGGCAGGGACGAGCTGGACTGGTTTTGGGATGCAGTGGGGGGAGGGGAGATTTTGAAACTTGTGAAATCCGCCTCCCACTCTCTCCCTATTTATTTCAAAACCCCCTTCCCCTCCCCCTTTTCTGATGAAGGGTCTAGGCCCGAAACGTCAGCCTCTCTGCTCCTATGATGCTGCTTGGCCTGCTGTGTTCATCCAGCTCTGCACCTTGTTATCTCAGATTCTCCAGCATCTGCAGTTCCTACTATCTCTGCCGCTATCTCTTGATGCTTTTTGTTTTGTTTTGCATTGGAATTAAAAATAAAAAAAATTATTGATAAATCTAAGCCTCTATCTTTATCACTTTTAAAAATTCTTGTGGGTACTTGTGTCCGATCTGTGCAGTGCCTAATAGCTGATGATATCTGAAACAACAACAGAAGTTGCTGGAGAAACATAGCAGGTCGGACAGCATCTGTGGAGCGGGGGGAAGACAGCAAAGTTAACACTTCCAGTCCAGTGACTCTTCTTCAAATCCTGAGTCACTGGATTCAATGTTAACTCTGCTTTCTTCCTATAGTTGCTGCCAGACTTGCTGAGTTTCTCCAGCAGCTTCTGTTTTTGTTTCAGACCTCCAGATTCCACAGTTCTTTAATTAAGCTGATGATATCTTGGTTTTATAGGTCTGGATGGATTGTCGGAACGTTGTGCTCAGTACAAGAAGGATGGAGCAGACTTTGCAAAGTGGCGTTGTGTTTTGAAGATCACTGACACAACCCCATCCTCCCTTGCTATTGCTGAAAATGCCAATGTCCTGGCACGTTATGCCAGTATCTGCCAGCAGGTAAAGTGATACAAAAAATTACCTAAGTTTTTAAATGCAGTTGCTGGTTATGGAACTTGTTTCTGGTTACCATTACATAGTGCTGATGCAACTTTTTTGTTTCTTTTCCAGCAAAATAAGTAATGATCACCATAGTTTCCCTCCTAGTTCTAATGGCAAAGTATAGACCCAGAGTGGGGACAGACCTACAGATAAGGAAGATTCATGCTTTGTTTTGAATGAACTAATCTTGGCCACAGTAAAGCAATTCAGTAACAGGTCCTCGCACATCTATGACAGAAGGGGAAAAATTCCAACGCAAACAAAATCAGAAATTGCTGGTAAACCTCAGCAGGTCTGGCAGCATCTGTTCCGTTTGGAAGAAGGGTCACTAGACCTGAAAAGTTAACTCGGCCTTCTCTCCACAGATGCTGCCAGACCTGCTGAGGTTTTCCAGCAATTTCTGATCTCCAGCATCCACAGTTCTTTGTTTTTTGGTTTAGGAGAAAATTCCATATTACTATCCAATGATTCATCTGAAAATTTCTGAGGATACCATCAGTTGGTCTATAGTCACCTCCATGATCAAATAGCCTACCAAATGCCTAACGGGATTCACATGAGAAGACTATTTGGGGAGGGTACTGGAAGGTGTTCATATGAACAAATTGGTGGCTTCAGAAGGGGAAAAAGTATAAAATAGGAAGACTGGGATGAGACTGTTCTGGATTTAGCTACAGTTATCATGCTATGAAAACAAAGTTCTCTACCCAAGGTTTTTGGGAAAATATTAATGGGGAAAGTTTCATTAATGAGCGCACTGAGTTTTTGATTGCTGGAGTGGTGGGGTTCTTGATCTCTGCATTTCTTCACTATTTTTCCTCCTTGTGTATTTAGAATGGCATTGTTCCTATTGTGGAGCCGGAGATCCTTCCTGATGGTGATCATGATTTGAAGCGATGCCAGTATGTCACAGAAAAGGTCGGTTGGAAAACAAACTTGAGATTTGTTTAGCATCTTCCAAAAACTTTTGGTATTCTAAGTAGTTTTAGTCAATGAAATGTGTCTAAAATATAGTCATCATTGCAATATGACCTACTGATTAACTAAACTGCATGTTGACTCTAAAAGTTACAGCAGGTACAAATGGACAATGCAAGTCAGAAGACAAATAAAGTGCAAAGCTGATGAATTTATGGTAATAGAAAATAGCATAAGCAACGAATCAAACAAATGTAACAAAATGAGAGAATTCAAAAACAGCACTTTCAAAATAATTTTGATCAACCTAATCCAACATGTAATGACACACCTCCAGGGAGAGTGTTCTGGCTTGAATCCTTCTGGACAAGAGATAGGGACATTACCACTGCTCCAAGAACTCTCTTTTTGTTAAAGGCAGCATCTTCAATATTTACATGTTGCTGAGACAATTAAAGCTAACCAAATAGTGGATACAGCTAACCAGTCCATGGGAAGGATGTAGAGAAGGTAAACAGACCACTTCATAAGCTAATGGGGTTGTGCTAGGAACAGTAGTGTTGGTGTAGGCAAGAATGGAGCAGCTGTTGGGCTTGGCCGCATATTGGCACAGCCAAGGTATCATATGACTCTTTAGAATTGCTAGGTCATTTGAAATTCATTTCAGCTAGGTGAATCGGGAACTTCTGCCAACTATACTCCCACACCTACCTAAGGAACACTGCCAATGAGAGAAGCTGCATGAAATTCATTTGCTGATATGAACAAACTGCTTCTGCTACTCTGTGGCTGAATTTCAGTCTGGGAGGGGGGTCCTGATTGGAGCATACATGAGGGGAAAATCTAATTCACAATCTGAAAATGGAGCAACACATCTCCCTACCTACTAATCTCCACACCACAGAACTAAAGGGAAATGTAAAAAGAGTAATTTCCCTGTACCATACCTTTTGTGATAAAATAAAAATGCTTGCCTTTTGTTTTCCAGGTGCTGGGTGCAGTCTATAAGGCCCTAAGTGATCACCACATATATCTTGAGGGAACCCTGCTGAAGCCCAACATGGTGACCGCAGGATATGCCTGTCCCACCAAGTACAGCCCTGAAGAGGTTGCAATTGCCACAGTTACTGCACTGCGGCGCACTGTCCCACCTGCTGTCCCAGGTACATGGATGCTGGTTGAAGGATTTACTGTAATATGTTTAGTATCAGAGTTTTCCACAAATACTGATGAGGAGCGGAGAATATTAGTGTGGTTTGAATAATGATCTTGATGTAAGTTTGATTTTGATTTTTTTTTTAAGCTAACTCAATCTTAACAATGCCACCACCCCCACTGCCCATCCATCCACCCAAAGTGGTGACATTGTAAAGCTAGAGAGGAAAGTAGCAAATCAGGAGATCGATATTCATTCATAATGGTATGGGAAGTGCTCATTGTGAATCACATCCATGCAACTGGCAGCCAACTAACACCTTGTATTAGGTGACTGAAGGAGTTAGTATTTACAGGATAGAAAATTAACAGAAAAACAAAACCCCACGCCCCTGCAGTGTCACACCAGTGTATCTGTATCAAGGAAGTGAAAGACATTCCTCAATTTAAGAGTGGTACAAACAATAGTAGTAAATCTGAGGATTAGGAGTGTTTTAGGTTAATTTAAAAATGGGGAAAAGAATAGAATGAGCAGAAACTAGCTAGGAATATTTAAATGACTTAAGAGTTTGTAGAAGATTTTTTTAAAAAAATAAAGTAGCCAGAGTAATCATAGGTCAGAAACATGAAAAATTATCATGGGGAACTAAAAATGGCAAACAGAAAAATGTGTTCAGTCTTCATTTGTAGAAAATCATACTCTCTATTTCTGGTATAGAAATTAACCTAGAGGTGGCTGAGTGAGGAAATTAAGGTAATTTAAAATCAGAAGACTTAAAGTACTGGAGACACTTGGTTTTAAAATCCAACAAATCTCAGTACCTTGTGGCCTATTAGCATCCTAGGATTCTTAGAGAACAGTGGTTGTGTAGCCTGGGCTATTTTTTCCAAAATTCCCTAGATTCTGAAATGGTCCCAGCAGATTGGAAGTTACCACATGTAATACCACCCATAATGGAGGGAAAAAGAGAGAAAACTAGGAACTAGGGTTAGACTTGTTGTTGGAGATGTGCTGGAATTTCTTAACGTCTTAACAATGTACTTAAATCATAGCATGAACACACCATTTGTGATTTTACAGAAGAGTAATCTTGTTTGACAAATTCTTTTAGAATTCTGAAGACATTCAGAAATGCAGTTTTATAATTCCTTGAAAGTGGAGTCCCAGGTAGATAGGATAGTGAAGAAAGCTTTGGTATGCTTGCCTTTATTGGTCAATGCATGAATATAGGAGTTGGGAGGTCATGTTAGGCTACTTTGAGTACTGTGTGCAATTCTGGCCTCGTTGTTATAGGAAGGATGTTATGAAATTTGAAAGGGTTTAGAAAAGATTTCCAAGAATGTTGCCAGGGTTGGAGGATTGGAACTATAGGGACAGGCTGAATAACCCTGGAGCATCAGAGGCTGCTGGGTGACCTTTATAGAAGCTTTAAAAAAAACCATGAGGGGTATGGATAGGATAATTAGATAAGCTCTTTTCCCTGGATTGGGAGAGTCCAAAACTAGAGGGCATAGGCTTAAGTGAGAGGGGAAACATTTAAAAGTGACTTAAGCGGCAAATTTTTCATGCAGAGGTAGGTGCATGTATGGAATGAACTACCAGAGGAAGTGGAGGAGGCTGGTACAATTACAAATTATAAAAGGCATCTGGATGAGGATATGAGTAAGAATGGTTTAGACGAACATGGGCCAAATGGGACTAATTTATTTAGAGTATTTGGTTAGCATGGATGAGTTGAACCAAAGATTCTGTTTCCGTGCTGTACATCTGACACTGTTAGGTGTACAGTAGGATAAAAAGGGACTAGTAGGTATGGCATACATGGATTTTCAAAAAACTTTCAATAAGATGCCACAGAAAAGGATAACACTTAGGAGCAGGCCTAGACCATTCAGCTCCTTGAGCATGCTCCATCATTTAATACAATCATGGTTGATGTCATCTCTGCTTCTGAAGTAGCAAACACCACAGATTTGTAACCCCTAGACCTCATTCTCCCTCATTTGTTACACGTGCCACCTCTTAGCCTGAAATTATTACCTGTCATTCTAGACAGCACAGCACCACCCCCACCAGGAGAGTCATCTGTTCTGCATCTACTTTGTGAATCGCCTTTGGTATTTTTTACCTGAACTAGACCTAGTTTCATTGTTCTAAACTGCTTAATCTTATCTCATAAAAGAAGCCTTTCATATCTGGCATTAATCTCGTGAACTTTCTCTGTACTGACTCCAAGGGCACCAAAACTACATACCGAAATGTGGCCTCCGCAATCTCTTGCATAGTTGCGGCAACTTCCCTACTTCTATACTCCATTCCTTTTAGCAATGCATGCGGGCACACAGATCCTTCTGCATTAGGTTTCTCTTCATAATTTGCCTTTTTATTCTTCCAACCAAAATGGATAACTTGTCCATATTAAAATCCACCTACCAAATGTTGGCCATTTCACTTAAACTATCTGTAAACATTTTTGCAACTTGCTTTTGAACCTATTTTAGTGTCCTCTGCAAACTTGTCTAAAGTACCTCCTATCCCTGCATCCAAATCATTAACATAAATTGTGAATAGTTAGGGCCCTGTGATACTCTACTGGTGTACAGTATGGATGACTGGAATTCTGAAGGAAAAAATTCAGTGGAGTTGAAGCTAAAGATCAGCCAGGATACTGGTGAAAGCCAGAGAAGGCTTCGTGCCATATGGTCATCTTGAACTCTATTTCTAATATTCATGAGCATTAGTATATCTTTAGAATCTGTAAAAATTACAGACTAATTGAGCTTTCTATATACTAGTATCACGGTCGTGATGACAAGGAGAGCCAACTATTGTACCCCTCAAACTTCATTTCAAGTTGATGCACAACATTCCTTCAACCTCCACAGCCATATTGTAATTGCACACCAAGTCAAATTATGGTGTCTATGTTTCTGACTGGTTTTGATTTTTCTGTCAGGAGTCACCTTTTTGTCTGGAGGGCAGAGTGAGGAAGAAGCCACCATCCATCTCAATGCTATCAACAAATGCCCATTGCCAAAACCATGGGCACTGACTTTCTCTTTTGGCCGAGCCCTACAAGCCTCTGCACTGAATGCTTGGCGTGGGGAGCAGGATAACCTGCAGGCAGCTCAGGATGAGTTCATGAAGCGTGCTGAGGTATTTGTGATTCCTGTCTCACTGCAGATGATTTTTTTTTTTTTTTAAATTATGCCCATGGTTCCAAATATTTCAATGGATCCATAGACTAGACAATATCTGGTTTGGTCTCTAGTGCAAGCTGAAGGAACTTCAGTATGTAGTGCTGAGCTTTTTGGGATAAAGATTTTGAGTTGGGTGGGGAAAGCAGCTGGGGACATCAGTCCAGATTCCCATATAGTCACTGTGTGTGAACATCTGGTGATAACTGATTGGACCAGACCTGTGTCTAATGTTGCACCAACTTCTAAAAATTATTTTTAATAAAGAATGTCTTGCCCTCTGTCAGTTCTCCAGTGTTGGTAGCATCTGGGATCTGCTTTACAACCCTTTTGTTAACTAACTTTTCGGTAGCATCACTTTAAAATGCTGTCCAACAAAATTTGATACTAGTTAAGTTTGAAATTATTAGGCAGATGACCGAAAACTTGGTCAAAGAATTTGAGAGAGAGACACACAGACACGGACAAGTTGAAATAAAATCCCAGTATGTGGAGTGTTGGCAGCTGAAGTCACGCAAATGATTAAAATGGAGAATACCTGAAATCCAAGTACAGGATTGGATGAATTCAGAGATTAGGGAGGGGGAGAATGAGTCTTTTCTGAGGAAGGATGCTGTTACACTCAAGGGAATGCAGCAAACATTTACCAAGCTGATTCCAGGGGTGGCAGGACTGATGTTTGATGGGAGATTGACTAGGTTAAGATTGATTTTGCTGGAGTTCAGGCTTATAAGATTCTGACCGGACTGGACAGGGTCGATGTAGGGAGGATGCTTCCCAATGATGACTGTGTCCAGAACCAGTCTGAGGATTCGGGGTAGACCATTCAGGACGGAAATGAGGAGACATTTCTTCACCCAAAGCATGGTGATCCTGTGGAATTCATTACCACAGGAAATAGTTGATGCCAAAACATTGAATGTATTCAAGCGACGGCTCGATATAGTACTTGGGGTGAACGGGATTAAAGGTTATGGGGAGAAAGCAGGATTAGGCTATTCAGTTGGATGAACAGCCATGATGACGACAAATGGGGAGCAGGCTTGAATGGCCTCCTCCTGTTCCTATCTTCTGAGTCCATGGTGGGATTTGAAACAAGTTTTATGATCCTTATTGAGATTAAATAATTTGTATTTTTTATAAATTAGAACTTCTAAGCAACCAACAGAAATAACCAAACAACATTTAATGTTTAAAGACTTTTACTATCTCAAACTAAACAAACCAAACAAAAATAAAACAAAGAACTGCAGATGCTGGAAATCAAACAAAAACAAATTGCTGGAGAAACTCAACAGGTTGGCAGCAACTGTGGATAAATAGAATATGAATTGTTTTCTCTGTTTGAATGTTCCTCAGTCCTTTAGAAAGTTGTTCTACTTAGCTTGAGACTTCCAGATCTCACTTTGAAGGACAAGGCCCACCTTGGCAACTCCTTAAATCTGTACAAGCACTCCCTTTGTTCCATTAGTTTCTCTTCTAAGGCATCCTGCTTGGTTATTAAGACAAAAACAGGACCCAATTTCTCTACAAAAGTAGCTGTCTTGTTGCTCAACACAATTGGCAATTGCTAAAATAAAGTCAATAACTGTGGATGCTGGAAATCAGAAACAAATTGCTGGAGAAACTCAGCAGGTCTGGCAGCATCTGTGGAGAGAAAACAGTTAATGTTTCAGATCCAGTGACCGTTCAGTTCTTAAATTTGTTTTTGTTTGTGATAATAGTAATTGCCTTTGCATCTTAAAGCAGCTGACCCACGTGTAAAACAGGAGCCTATTGAAATATTGAGATCCCCACCATGACTACCAGATCACACAGGTTTATCGTCAAACAAATGTTTGACCTCACCCACCACCTTTTTCTAGAATGTTCTGTTCTGCCTTAAAAGGAGACATTTTAAAGCTATTCTAAAAATTCAGTATTTGTCACATGGGGACGAGAACTTTTCAAAATAAAGATGTCAGACAAGCAGCCAATGTACATCAGAGCATAAGTGTGGTGATGGCTGTAACATGTATGTAGACATGTGTTTCAGGAGCCAAGGTGGCATTAGGGATAATTATTTTAAACCAATGCACTTTTTTTATGGTTTTAACCTTTCAAATATTTTGTTCCTACTTGGTGCTTTAGTCACACTTTTCCTTTTGTTTTAAATAGGTTAACAGTTTGGCTTCACTTGGGCAGTATGAGTTCAGCGGTGATACTGAAGGTGCAGCTAGTCAATCTCTCTACATAGAAAATCATGCCTACTGAAAGGAAGCCACAGGAAAATCCAAATAAAAAAGGAATGAAAAAAGTTTTAAATTCTCATTCAGCTTCTCGTGATTGACTGATCCACTGCCTCTGCTACCTTGTATATTGTGCCCTCCTGGCCTACGTTATTTTGCTCTGTAGCTGAGAATTAACCATACGAGTGCTGATAGCAACACAACATGCTGTATACTCTTCTCCCAGGGTTCATGTAGTTTGGCCTTAATGATACTCCAACAGATTACTGCAATCTCCAATATTACAAATGTTGTTAATTGCTTCCCCGAAAGATTAAAAAGATTGTTTTCGGTGTTAGCTGCCTTGCCCTGATCATCTGGGCTTGTTGTGAACAAAAACACTGGTAGATCAGAGCTTACTGCACTTTGGGAAGAGGCAATGTGACTGTGTTGCTACAGCTTCTAAAGTGAGCATGACAACCTAGATGACTATACACAACGTATAACAGTAACCATAACACACAAATCCAAGTTAATTCCAAACAGTGGTCTGCATTTTTCTCCCTGCCTAGGAAGAGAAACCCACTGTATATTTTTGTGTGAATTCTGACTATTTGAGATTACAGGGGAGCATTGAGTGTTGTTCAAAAGTATTTTGTGATATATAGTTATTGTACTCCCTCCATCAGGTAAATAGTTACAATAAAGTTATGAAACAAACATCAGTCTTGCTGTCTTGGTATTTTCAAAATGTTTGATTTGTACATTAATTCTTAACTGTGGTAGAATATTTCTCCTCCAACATCACTTAAACCTGCCATCACTCACTCCAGACTCTAATCTCCCAACTCTAGCAATTTTCCGTCTCTTGCACATTATTTCCAGTCTGTCATTTGCTAGCCCTTTATCAACTCCCTCCCTGCAGCACACAACTGCCTAAGCAAAGTCTCAATCAATCTAACTATGATACACTCTTTTTGACCTTGGTGTTATGCAATGACCCTGTCACACTCCTTAGGGTCCTGGTGTTGCTCCAACACAGAAGAAGCTCAACTACATCTAGGACAAAGGCACTTGCTAACTTGGTGGACACCATATTCACTCCTTTCATCAGTGTTTTGTCAACCAAGGAGGACAACACATAGGAACACCACCAACTAAGTTTCCTTCCAATCTACTTGACATCTTGTAAATATATTACTGTTCCTTCAGCAGCCCTGGGTCAAAATCCTGGAACTCCCTCCCTAACAGCTTTGAGGGTCAGCCTATAGCAAATGGACTGCAACGGTTTCAGAAGAGAGCTCACAAACATCTTCCAGGGCAATTAATGATGGGCAATATCCACATCCATTGAATAGAGGGAAAAGAGTAAGAATTTGTAATCAAAATAGAAGATAAAGTCAGAAGCCATAACAAAATGGTGACCACTGAATTGTTCACTGCTTCATCCCATTCCTATCAATACTAAATCCCCAGAACTTAACCTCTAATTTGTTAAAGTTATAATGGTCTGTTAATAACCAGACCAACCCTCTCAAGGTATATTAAGGAGATAACCTAGACCCTAACTTTGTAAAGGCAAGTGTAAGGTGCTGAGTTCCACATGTGATTTGATTGGTCCACTACTAGACTTTAAATAAAACACTATTGTTACACTTAAAATAGAATTAGCATAAATAATATTATTTTAATAGTTACTTAACTACTTTTCTCACATGCTATCTTCCAGTCCAGAGAACAGTACACTGGAAGAAAATAGAGCAGCAGAGAGAGACTAAACAAGCTCTTAGCTGTATCTCAGCTTCACCATCAACTCCCACAGTCCAAGGATGTGCAGGTTAGGTGGATTGCCCACCAATGTCTAGGCTAGGTGGATTAGCCACAGGAAACACAAGGATTTGGGTGGGGAGATCTATGCGATGCAGAATTGATGAGCCAAATGGCCTGTTTCCACACTGTAGGGATTCTATCCTCCCAGACAGTGCATTCCAGATTCCCACCACTCTCTGGGCTAAAAACACTTTTCCTCAGAACCCTTCTAAACCACAAGCCCTTCACTTAAAAATTATGCCATCTGTTACTGATCCTCCCACTCAGGAACAATTGCTTCCTTTCCACATTGTCCATCCACATCATAAGCTTATACACTTCAATCAGATCCGCCTCAGCCTTCTCTGCTCTAAAGAAAACCCAAGCCTACCCAGTCTTCTTTGCTAAAATGCTCCAACCTAGGCAACATCCTGGCAAATTTCCTCTGTACCGACTACAGAGCAATCACATCCTATAGTGAGGCAACCAGAACTGCACACACTACTCCAGCTGTAGCTTAACCAGAGTCCTGTACAGCTCCCAGTGATTCCTTTGAGCTTCTTCATCTCATGCCTTTCATTGAATCCTTCCTCATCTTGTTAATTCAGCCAAAAGTGCACCACCTCTCATTTTTTAAGGTTAAATGCCATCTGACCAATCTGTCTATCTTCCCGTAACCCAAGACCTCCTTCCCTCGCTATTAACCATCCAGCCATAGTCCATGCCATCCACAAACATCTCAACCCCCTACCCCACATTCATCAACATTGTTTATAGATCACATAAATGGACCCAGCACTATACACCATTAGACATTGACCTCCAGTCACACAAACACCTTTCTACCCCACATTCTGTCTCCTGCCACTAAGCATCCAACATGTGGACTTAACCTGGATGCTGTGTATTTTTACCATCTTTATCAGTGTCCAATGTGGGACCTTGTCAAAAGCTATTTTGAAAACCATACAAACTGCACTACTGTCATCTAGACATCTGATCACCTCAAAAAGTTATAAAATTTGTTAGGCATGACCTCCCTTCAATAAAGCCTTAATGTCTATCCCTAATCAAGCCTCCCGCTTCAAGTGGAGATTTATTCTCTCCTTCAGAACTTTCTCCAATAACTTCCCTGCTACTGATGTGAGACTCACTGTTCTGTAAATCCTTGGTTTATTTCTACCATTATTCTTGAAAACTGGAACCCTATTACGTGTTCACCAATTCCCTGGCACCACCCATATGGCCAGAGAAGAATTAAAAATTGGGTCAGAGTTTCTGTAATTTCCTGAACAAAAACAGAACTTCTGAGGAAGGTCACCAGACCATAAACGTTAACTCTGATTTTTGCTTCACAGATGCTGCCAGACTTGCTGAGTTTTTCCAGCAACTTCTGTTTTTGTTCCTGATTTACAGCATCCGCAGTTCTTTTGGTTTTTATTCTGTAATTTTCTCCCTTGTGTCTCTCAGCAGCCTGGAGATTTGTTCGCTTTTAAACCTGCCACATCAGTAGTTGGTAAGCTATATGGTAGGCTCCTCCAGAAGAATAAGACACATGGGATCAACCGTGACTTTACCGTGTGGATTCAGAATCAGCTTGCCCGTAGAAGACATGGGGTAGTGGTGGAAGGTTGTTTCTCAGGCGGGAGGTGCATGACCAGTGGTGTTCCACAGGGATCCTTACTAGGACCTCTGCTGTTTGTGATAAAGATATAAGTGACTTGGATGAAAGTGTGGATGGATGGGTGGGTTAGTAAGTTTGCAGACGATTCAAAGATCGACAGAGTTGTGGACAGTGTAGAAGATTGTCAAAGGCACAGTTCAAAGATGTGCAGGTTACACCTAATTGGCCATGCTAAATTGCCCGTAGTGTTCAGGGATGTGTACCTTAGGTGGGTTATAGGGGGATGGGTCTGGGTGGGATGCTCCAAGGGTCGGTGTGGACTTATTGGTCCAAAAGGGCCTGTTTCCACACTGTTGCAATTCTATATATAAAGCATACAGCAGGATATAGATCAGTTGTAGATATGGGCAGAAAAATGGCAGATGGAGTTTAATCCAGGGAAGTGTGAGGTGCCACACTTTGGAAGATAAAATGTTAAGGAAAAGTATACAGTTAATGGCAGGACTCTGAACAGCATTGACGTACAGAAGGATCTTGGGGTTCAAGTCCATAGCTCTCTGAAAGTGGCCACACAAGTAGATAGGGTGGTTAAGACGACATTTGGCATGCTTGCCTTTACTGGTCCGGGAACTGAGTATAAAGAGTCAGGATGTCATGTTGCAGCTTTATAAGATTTTGGTTAGGCCACACTTAGAGTATTGCAATCAATTCTGATCATCACATTACAGAAAGGATTTGGAGAGAGTGCAGAAGAGGTTTACCAGAATACTGCCTGGATTAGGGGTATGAGCTAGAAGGACAGGCTAGAAAAACTCATTGTTTTCTCTTGAGCGGCAGAGGCTGAAGGGAGACTTGACAGAAGTTTATAAAATTATGAGATGCATAGATAGGGTTGACAGTCAGAGTCTAATGTCTAATACTAGGGGGCATGCATTAAGGAGAGAGGGAGCAAGTTCCTTTTGAAAAAAGGAGAGAGTTGTAGCAGTCTGGAATGCACCACCAGGGGTGGTGGTGAAGGCAGATATGATAAGGTTATTTATGGGACTTTTGGATAAGTACATGATATATGCAAGGAATGGAGGGAGATGGAACAAGGGCAGGCAGAAGAGGTTAGTTTAATTTGGCATCATGTTCAGCACAATATTGTAGGCAAAGGTCCTGTTCCTGTGCTGTACAGATCTGTGTATGACAAACTTAGAGTAACACAAACCACTCACTGAAATGAGGCTAGTGTTTTGCACTGGCTAGGCTATAGGAGCCTTAAAACAGTCAATACAGTCATATTCAAAATGAAGCCAGTCTCCAAACTCAGACAGTGTGAGCCACACATCTTCTCACAGGTCCATTAGCCAAGGTGACCCCATTGATCTTTACAAACAGCAAATGTCCTCATCTCAAAGGGTGGGTGGTGTTGTGGTTGATCTAGAGGGAAAGCCAGCATTATATCCCTAAAAGAGAATAAAGGGATGCACTTTCAAGTCAGATTGCTAATTCTCAGCTGTGGATCTCAAGTTGGTCACTGGAAAAAAAAATGGAGGTCAGTTTTTGCTGTTAATAGTTATCTGAAAGAATGTTAATTTCAAGCAAGTTATATACAGAAAGAATAGGGCATACAGTTTAGAATTTCCCTTTTTTTAAAAAAAAGAAAAAAGTGAAATAAAATCAAGCCACATAAGTGAAATTTTCTTTGCAGGAGGTGGATGTAGGCACAATTACAACACTTAAAAGACATGAATAGAAAAGGTTTGGAGCAGGCAGATGGAACTAGTTTTGTTTGGGATTATGTTCAGCATGGACTGGTTGGACCAAAGGGTCTTATTCTATGCTGAATGACTATGACTAATGTACAAACTCCACACAGACAATCATCCAATCTGTAATCAGAGCCAGGTCCCTGGTGCTGAGGCAGTAGTGCTGACACCATATTGCCCACTTAGGTGTTCCCAGTCTATTTTGGCTTCTCCCCAATCCAAAACTTCTTTTTTTTGCAACCATCATTTTTCTTTTCTTCAAGACACCTAAAATCAAACTACACTGGGGTCATTATCACTGAAATGCTCCCACACCACCACCTGTCTGCCTTCACTCCCCACAATTAGGTTCAGCATTATACCATTCCCTGTTAGCATATCTATGTGCTGACCTACAACTACACTGACATTTTTCATAGAGAGTCAGTTAGCTAAGTTGGCTTGATGGCTGATTTGCAATGCATAGCTCAATACTTGTACTGTCTGAGGTTACCAGGAAAGATACTCCTTCTCAAACTCTGCCCTGACCTGAGGCGTGGTGACCCTCAGGTTAGACCACCACCAGACATTTCCCCCTAATGAGAAATTAGCCCTATAGTCCTTTAAAACAACGGCGACGTTACTACACATATTGACGTAAAAGAGTGATGCTCAACGGCAACCATTTAACGAATTTATCTCACCCACCCGAATTTGTGGCGGCGCCGCTCTGCCATCCCACTCTACACGTGCATCGGCCCCAGCAGCGCGGGAAATTTGAAGGCAGGTGCCCGGATATTGCCCCCAACCGACACTGATTACCAGCGCTCCGACTTCCGGAAGTTACCGCTAGCCCCGCCTATTGGTGGATGGGCGGTCCCGTCGCGCTGCTGTTCCATTGGTGGATGATGCTGTTATTCATACCATACTTCCGTTGTCAGGGGAAGCTGGAGGCAAGATGGCGACGGCGATGGCAGTAGCAGCAGTGGCGGAAGGTCTGAGACGGTGCGGGAAATGGGAGCTGGGCACTGCTTTACCCTACGACACATACTTTGTTTACAGGAACAAGAATAGAAGTTGCTGGAAAAGCTCAGCAGGTCTGGCAGCATCTGTGAAGAAAAAAAATCAGTTAATGTTACGGGGCCGGTGACCTTTCTTGAGAAGGGACCCTGAGTTCTGAGGGTCACCGGACCCGTAACGTTAACTCTAATTTTTTCTTCACAGATGCTACCAGCCCTGCTGAGCTTTTCCAGCAAC